TTTTTTTTATTGAATGGTGATTGTTTTCATTTCTAAAGTAAAATTCAACCCAAGTGATCATCAACCCATGAATGGATCAACAAACTGTGGTATATGTATATCATGGACATTGTTCAGCCATTAAAAAAGATGGAGACGTCACATCTTTTACATTTACCTGGATGGAGCTGAAGCTTTACTTCTTCTTAGTAAAGTATCACAAGACTGGAAACACAAATATCCAATGTACTCTATACTAATATGAAACCAATATATAAATAATTACATGCTCACATGAACAATAAAACACAAATATAGTCTAGAGCAGTGGTTCTCAACCTTCCTAATGCCGCGACCCACAGATTGAAAACCGCTAGTGTAGAGGGAGGCAGGAGGGAGGAGGGGGAGGATGATTGGCAAAAGAAGGGAGAGCATGAGGTGGGGTCTCACCTATTGTGCACAATGTGAGCATGTATAACACGCCCCCAGTGAGGGTCTCTTTTACAACTACAACTTTACCCTTGAAGTGAGAACAATGTAATCTAAAAATTTGTATCCTCATAACAGTTTGAAATAAATAAAAAATAATTAAAAAATAAAAATAAAGTTCAAGTTGTGGCTGAGCCCTTCTCAGGGGGTGTGCTGAGCACCCTCACACTGTGCAAACCTGACTGTAACTCTCTCCTGGCAAAACTTCCAAGGGCTACTGGTCACACACTTCAAATGCATCCAAACACCTCACCCTCCCTGCGGGCCCTCACAGGAGCTGACAGCCGCAGTTGCCTTCTGTTTATGCTCAGAACATGTCAGGCTTGCAAAACACTAAACTGTACCCCATGTTTGCATTAATGTATACAACTATCATTTAATTAAAAAAAAAAAGGAAAAAAAAAAAGAGAGAACTTTGCATCAGCACCTTTCTCTACTCGCATGTTGTGGGTCCACATCCTTGTCCGGCTGCTGGCTGGCTCCTTCTCTCTCAGCTTTCAACTGAAACGGAAGGTCCTTGGAGAGGTCTTCTTTGACCACCGAAGCTTCTTTCCACCAAATCCTGCTTTCTTTTCTTCATGGTATGAATAATTTTTGGATATTTCATTAATCCTTTCATTTGCTCAGCTGGCTGGAAGGTTGACTCTATAAGATCAAAGACTCTATCTTGTTTAATAGTTTATCTTTGGTGATTAGAATAGTTAAATCCGAGAACATATTAGGATTTTATTTTATTTTATTTATTATTATTATTTTGCAGGTTTTGGCTGGGGCTGGGTTTGAACCAGCCACCTCCAGTATATGGGGCTGGCACCCTACTCCTTTGAACCACAGATGCCACCCATATTAGGATTTTAATATCACTTCCTGTAGGAAGCCTTCCTGCCCCTGGAGGAGGAGTTGGGTGATACTCATTTGTATGGACTTAACTGTTTCTACTTTCTCAGTCTAAGCAGTTACGGTGCTAATGTCTTTGTCACCTCTCAACTTGTCACTTTTCCCTTTGGCAATGTTCCTTTTTAGGGGTAAAAACATTAAATTACACATTGTCACATTCCTGAAGTTTAGCTCAGTTATAGGCATTTGAATACATTTAGAAGCTCAGAATAAATTATGGCTAAAAACATGCTGCAAAGTAGTCACTATGCTAATATCTATGTTAATTCTGTCTAGGGTGAGAAGGGAGGACTAGCTAGAAGGGAGAACCACCAACTGAGTGCCTACTAAGTATCGGTGCTTTACATAAATAATTTTTTTTCTTAAATACCCACTCCATTTTATTGGGAATTGAGGCTCTGAAAGAGACATTGGTCAAACTAGAAAACAGAAGTAGCGTCTCTCTTACAGCTTCTGTTCATTCTACTGTACTATGGCTGGACTCCACATAGAGGGGAATATACAAGAATTGCCTGATACTTTTACATGTATCATTCATCCTCAAATTAATAGCTCCCTTCCTGCCCCCTCAGAAAGGGGGCCACAGTCACAGTCAATAAACCTTGTGAGGTTTATTCTCATAAGTAGGGGAGATTCCCACAGTGTGGTTCCAGGTACCTAAGGAGACGTGGCTGCTTAAAGCCGGTGTTACCACTGACCAGGGCCCAGCCCCCTCCACGGAGGGCCCCTGTGTCTGACCCCAGCAGTGTTTTCTGGCAACAACATTCTGCACATGGTTAGACAAGGGGAGAGAATGGAAGGGCACTCCTGACTGGCTGGTTATTATTATTTTTTTTTTAAAGAAAGGGTCTTGGATATAATCCTGAGTGTACGGGTGCCAGGTTCTTTCCTCCCTGGTGTTCAGGTAACTGTCAGGGCTTGTATCTGATCTCTGTACATAACCACCTCCGGCCTCAGCAATAATCAGCTTGGTTAGTTTCTTCCCTTTGCTCCTTGACACTCTGGCTGACCTCTGCTGACTCACCTACCCCTGTCTGCTAGCATACTCAGAGACCACTGGGGTGGATTTCAGGGGCAGAAACAGCAGCCAGAACTATGTGGGCTAATGAAAGCCCCACCTGTTTAGACAAGTAAAAACTGATCATTGGGGTGGCACCTATAGCTCAAGGAGTAGGGTGCTGCCCCCATATACCGGAGATGGCAGGTTCAATCCTGACCCCAGCCAAAACTGCAATAAAAAAACAAAAACAAACAAGCAAAAAAACTGATCTCTGGATGAACCAGCAGCTGTCTTCCCCTCATAACCCTCTGAACAACTCAGTATGAAAAATAATTCCAGGCAGGGCTAGCCCTTGGATGGTAATAAGCAGTAGAATTTTCTTTTCTAGAATTAATGGGGACAGATGTCAGAGGCCTCTGGGGAAAGTCAGGACAACTTACTGGAGGGCTTGGTATTTCCATCAACTCCCTGAGTGACCTTGGGAAAGTCATTTCCCCTCTCTGAACATTGACTTACTGAGCCATTGAGTAGTTCAGATATATAGTTATATGTAGTGTAAACTTAAGTCAACAGACCCCACTGGCTCTTTAATCTTGTGGTTTAAAGGCACACTAACCTGACAGAGAAAGGTATTCACAGTATCCTAAGAAGCAAACGCAAGTTATAGAATAGTCATCAAAGTATCTTACATTTGTTCCGATACATATGTCTTCATACTGTGTATTGTTTGGCAATTTAAAAACAATTATCAATACATTATAAATAACCTTTATCATTCAATGAGTTAATCAATTTATTCCAAAGGCTTCTTTGAATATCTATTCAATATTAAATGTTTATGACACAGAAATGAACAAAACAAAACAAAAAACAACCAAACTCATTGCCTCAGAGGAGTCTGAATTTTAGGGAGTTTACGGGGATTCATGTTTTGTTTTTAAAAGATCTTTGAAAAGTTTTGATGTAGGTACATGGGTGATATAGAGGTGAGCAGAGCTGCCTTCCAAAGCATTTGCTCTGCTATTGGTGCTGGCCCGCCTCCATGCCTGACAGATAGAAAAGACACTGAATGTTCCTTTTCTTACAAGGGGTGTATTGTTCACATTCTCTTCAATGACACATCCTCTCTTTATTGCTTCTACCGAACGTGCCTTTTCCTGACCCCTTACCTAACCTTGAATTTGGGCCAAGAATGTGGTGCTTACATACTAACAGAGCTTCTTCTTTCCCCGTCCTACCTCCTAATCATCCTTTCTTTCCTTAGCCCACCCCAATAAGGTTCTGTCTCCTCCATTCCAACAAATATTTTCTTGTTAAGGTTATAATGTTGTAGCTGTACCCACCAGCATCAAAATAAAAATAAAAATAAAAATGCACCCTTGCAATAATTTCAAGAGGTAGGTGGACTGGACAATCCTGCCTTGGTTCCTTGGATCTTCTAGACTTCATGGGGTTCCTTAGAGCTATGTCCATGATCTCTCATCTTATGGTCTCTTCTTACAAGGGCAGTCTCACCTTCACCTTGAGGTCTCAGGATTATGTTCCCTTACTCTGTCTCTCTTGCCATAAAACCTTTATTGATGCTGCTTTCCCCACCTGGAATAGCCATTGCTCCCTCTCTGACTAGAAAATTCTCACTCCTTTTTACAGTGAACACTCTTTTATTTTATCTCTTTACCGTTCTTTTTTAGTGCATCATCTATTCCAAGAACATCATGATTTTTCTCTGGGGAATTATGTCTTCCTCACCGGGGAAGGGATGCCCTGTCAGATCCTTCCTCTCACCCATTTGGTGCAGTCATAGAATGGGTATTGACCCCAGCTAGGCTGACTGAGCTTTCCCCCTGGAGAACACATACAATGGATGGACTCACACACTCTAACAGCACTTTGAAGCCCAGATGTCAGGTAGTATCTGCCCCCAACACTCTCTAGAGCTGCCTGGTTTCCATCTCTTCCAAGTCTCTCAAACTTCTCTCCTGACACTCAGCATTACTCATAAGCTCTTCATATATACTTTTGTTTAAAGTTATTCAAAGTTGGTTTCCAATATTTCAATCGAAAAACCACAAAGCATGAATATTTCTGTTACTTATTTAAACTTATGGGGTGTGTCATTATATAAACTCTGATAATTCTATTACTGGGGTTTCTGCTAAATACCTAACATGAATCTTTCTGATATCATTTCTGCTAGTTCTTGTCCATGGTACCTTATTTCTTTGTGTGGTTAATGCTTTTTCACTGTAAATTGATTGCTTGCCTTTGAATTTTATTTCTAAGATTTTTTAAAAGTATTTTTTTAACTTAAAATATAATTTATATCATGAAGTACACACATCTAAAACTCAAAAACTTTTTACTTATGCATATATCTTTGGAACTATCACCCAGATAGACAAAAGATTTCCTGTGCCTCCTCCCAATAAGACCTACTCCAACAGTATCTATTATTCTGATCTCTGTCACCATACATTTGTTTTTCCTATTTTTAAATGTCATATGAATGGAATTATATATGTGTGTGTAATACACACATGTATATACATGTATACACCATATATATGTGTGTGTGTGATATACATTTATATACACATATATACATATGTGTGTGTGTATTATACACATACACTACAAAGCACTTTGGAATATACATACTACAAAGCACACTGGAAAGCCTTAAGAATAACCTTGATCAGGCAGAAGAAAGAATTTTGGAGCTTGAATATAATACCTTTCTGCTAAATAAGTCAGTTGAAGAGAAAGAAAAAGAAACAGGAGAAATGAACAAAGCCTACAAGAAATGTGGGACTATGTAAGAGCCCAAACATAAGAATTATAGGCATCCCAAAAGGTAAAGAAGAAAATACACAAGAGTTAGATAATTTATTTGAGGGAAATATTGAGTAAAATTTCCCTGGCCTTGCTAGAAATCTAGATATTCAGTTATAAGAAGCGTGTAGGACTCTTGGGATTCATTGTAAAGAATGCATTCATTGTAAAGAGGCATTCACCACAATGCATAATCATAAGACTAGCCAAAGTAAACATTAAAGCTGTACTCCCAGGAGCAGCTATAAGGTGAAAACCACAGGTAACTTACAAAAGAAAACCAATCACATGAGCTGCAGACTTCTCAACTGAAGCCTACAAACTGAAGGGAATTGGAGACACATCCTTAGCCTTCTAAAAGAGAAGAATCATGTATCCTGAAAAACTAAGTTTCTTATGTGAGGGAGAAATGAAGACTTTCTCAAACAAGCAATTGCTGGGGAAATTTGTGAGGATCAGACTTGCACTATAGGAATATTCAGATATGCATTATATAAAGATCAGCATAATAGATACCCATCAGCATAAAGCCATCTAAAAGCTAAAGTTCAGCACCCAGATACCACAAGGTCTCAAGAGGTAAAGGAAAGTAATAAGGGTCTATCCAATAGGATGAACAGAAACCTACCACACATATCAATATTGTCAATAAATAAGAATGGCTTGAACTCCCCACTGGAGAGACATAGGCTGGCTGAATGGATAAAAGAATACAAGCCAAGTATTCTCTGCCTCCAGAAAACACATCTACAAAGAATTCAAGCAAAATGGCAAGAAAAAAAGAATCCATTAAAAAGTGGGCAAAGACATGAATAGAAGCTTTTCAAAATAATATAGACTAATTATCAAAAAACACATGAAAAATTACTCAACATCTCTAGTCATCAGGGAAATGCAAATCAAGATCACAATGAGATATCACCTAACTCCAGTGAGAATGGCTCTTATCAAAAAGTTTCAGATCAACAGGTGCTGGCATGGATGCAGAGAGAAAGGGAGACTTGTTGGTGGAACTGCAAACTAATACAACCTTTATGGAAAGTATTATGGAGGTACCTCAAGAACTAAAAGCAGACTTATCATTTGATCCAGCAATCCCAGTGCTAAATATTTATCCAAAGAGTCTTTATAGCAGCACAACTCACAATTGTAAGATGTGGAAACAACCAACTGTCCATCAACACATGAGTGGATTAACAAAATGTGGTGTATGTATACCATGGAGTTCTACCCAGCCAGAAAAAAATGGTGGTCCAGCATATTTTATAACAACCTGGATAGAACTGGAGACCATTCTTCTATGTGAAGTATCACAAGACTGGAAAAACAAACACTATAGGAACTCAATACTAAATTAGAATGAGCTGATTAACACCTATGCACATATATGGAAGTAAAATTCATTGGAAATTGAGTAGGTGGAAGGGGGTGGGTAAATTCACACCCAACAAGTACAATGCACACATTCGGGGTGAAGGGCACACCTATAGATTTGACTTAAAATGTACAAAAGTAAACTATATAACCAAATCATGTATACCCCTATAATATTCTGAAATAAAAATAAAGAGAAAGAAAAATAAAGAAAAAAAGAGAGAAAGGAAAACAAAGAAAGAGAAAGAAAGAAAAAGGAAGGAAGGGAGGGAGGCAGGAAGGGAAAGAAAGAAAAGTAACTCAAGAAAAGACAGACATTCTTCAAGAGTTAGAGAAAACAGAACTTTCTCTGTAAAATCTGCAGGCTTTCTTCTTTGTTCTTCTTTCTTTGGCCTCTAGTTGGTTTATGAGAGTCATTCCATATTGCATTCTGACCACTTCTCCTATAATTATAGTTTCCCTAGAGAGCAGAGATCATGTCTCATTCAACATTGTGTCCCTACAGCCCAAGACAATTTTATCTGGTATGTTGCTATGGCCCCATATCAAGTTTGTTTAAGAGAAAATGAAGAATTAGAACTGGGTTAATATATTACCTCCTGTTAATAACAGAAACGACAACTTGGTAAGACAGTTTTCTTCTTTTTTTTTTTTTTTTTTTTGAGACAGAGCCTCAAGCTGTCCCCCGGATAGAGTGCCCTGGCATTACAGCTCACAGCAACCTCCTACTCCTGGGCTCAAGCAAGTCTCCTGCCTCCGCCTCCCAAGAAGCTGGGACCACAGGCGCCCACCACAGTGCCCGGCTATTTTTTGGTTGCAGCCGTCATTGTTGTTTGGCGGGTCCAGGCTGGGGATTCGAACCCTCCACCTTAGGTATATGTGGCTGGCACCTTAGCTGGTTAAGCTATAGGCGCCAAGCCACAGTTTTCTTCTTTTGAAGTTAATTTTTTTTTCTATGGAATGGTTGCTGAAAGGTATTTTTAAAATACAGATGCCCTCTGTGTCTATCAGGTTCAAGTCATGAAAATGGGAAGCACATCTAGAATTTCAGATGGAGGGGATTTCATACAGGGAATTGACT